CTTTGCGCACTTTCTAAAATCCACATAGCTGGTAAGTGTGCACATTATGCTTTGCCCACTTTCTAAAATCCACATAGACCCCGGTACCTTGGGCTCCACTCATCTAGTGTGTCTGTCGACACACTCTGGAAGCATCGCTCCCCTCACCATTGAGGGTTATTGTGAGCATGGTGCTTTCTTTCGAGCGTTTAATTCTCTCTGAGGAGTTGGATTCCTCGCTCCTTGGGCTTTTCTCGTGGTAGTGTTGAGCAGTGCTCCCCTTTTATCGAAGGGTTACCTGGAATGAGCACACTATTCCTCTGAATTCGGAGTTCTCCTCTCACCAGGTTACTTATGTAACCATGGTTCCCTGAGTAGGGAACGAGACACTGCGTCCTCTAGGTTTCTTGCCATGCTGTGGACGCAAGCTTCAGACGAAGAAGTGGATGATGTGTTCTCCCGGCACCTATTTATACTATAGTCACACCGGTAGTGACGTCATGGCTGTCGCCGGCCAACGTGTTGTTGGTGTTTTTTCAATGTATGCTTCAGACACGGGTCACGACGAGGCATTCCCCATAGCGACCCTTAGAGGACGCAGTGTCTCGTTCCCTACTCAGGGAACCATGGTTACATACATAACCTGAGACGTTATGTAATTGAAGGAAACTGGTGATCACATTTAAAAATATGTTTTCCACTGTCTGTTGAGGGCAGGGGTTATGGTTGAATTCAACTAAGGTGCTATTTTGACTTTCTGGGTTGTTGTGATTAAATACTCTCAGCAAGTTGTCAATAAAACTTTGTTCATGCAAAGAGCAACTTGTCATGTATGCTAAAGAAGTGCTAACGGTTCTATGCTCATATGATCACAACTGAGGCAGTGATAATGTTGGACGACTAAAGACCTGCGCTCTGGGTGGGACAGTAACATTCTGAGTTAGTGTTATTGATCCTGTGTTGGACCTGTGTACACCCAGTAGGGCAGTGATAGTGTATAGATGCTAGATATCTGACACTCGTCTGTGAATTTAAGTAGGTGATAGCAGCTTCTTGTCGGAATGCTGTCACCATATGGGGAATTACCCTGAGAGGAGGCTGTAATGCTACAACTTGCTCTTTGCTTGAATAAGACCATAATTCAGATTGGAATTGTTTTAGCTTTCAAATTTGAATCACAGGAATTGTTAT